CCCACTACCAAGGAAGGTCGGCAAGGTTCACTATAAAGTCTTTCAAAAGTTCGTCTAAGAAGTTAGGTCCGCTAGGTTTCTAATCGGCAAGTAGATATAGAGCCCCCCTTTCGAAAGGCATACTCACGCTGAAGTACTCTTAAGAACAGAGTCCGTACTATACCCATCGTGGCAAGCCCCTTTTGCGCCCTTTCGGATATCCACTAACAAGCTAGAAAATGTAATCATACTTGACTAAAACCAGAGCCATATAGCACTCATGGTTGTACTGTAAGTTCCAGGTTATTACTTACAAATAAGTCCTTAGGGAGAGAAACTAAAGCATTTGGAAAGTAGCCAAATACTCCAGCACCCTTCTGTCCATGTTGCTAAAAAGCATATTTTAACATTTATTGCATATACCATTAATCAAGTTACAGATCATGGTCATTAATTGAGCACTAGCAAAAATACTACCCAATACATAATCCCATAGGTGACAAGTTACAAAGGTAACATTAGCTAGGATATCCTTAGTGGTAATCAAGATAGACACATGCAGTATGAATTAAATGTTATTAAGATGAATAGGACAACTAGGAAGATCTCATGCTATACTTATCTTTTACACTTGCTTAAACTTTCTTTTACTTTGCTTCTGGTTATCACCTTCTGATCTTGAGCGTTAACAAACGGTTCTCATTCTACTCGTAGCAAGTACCAAGCACAGACAAACATTCAAGCAACAAATAAAAGCAACTAAGAACAGTACACCACACAGGATAAAACAACGTACTTAAAAAAAGCAGTTAGTACGGTCACAAGATCTGAGAAATGTCGAAAACGAAGCTACAGTTAAAAACGGGATTAAAACCTAGAAACGGTGGAGATATACCGAACCAGTGGCAGTTTCGTAAATAACTCGTCTTCTTTCTTGGCTCATCTCCTTCCTCTCGAACATGGCCATGGTTGCCTGTTGCTGCTGCTCGCGCGGGAGGAAGGGAGTGGCGCCTCGGCCAGGGGCTCGGTCGGCCGGACCGGCAGCGGCGTGGCGCGCCCGAATGGCATTGGGCCTGCGGTGGCGGGAGAGAAGCCGGTGGCAACTAGCGCGGTAGCAGCAGAGCTTTGCTCGGCGACGGCTTCCGCGAGCACGGAGGTGATGCTATGGCGAGCACTTGAGGACGAGAAGTGGTTGAGGGAACTCTCCGTGCCACTGCGAACCCAACGGTGGAGTAATGAGGGCTTGAGGTGGTCTGAGTGGAGAGATCGGGAGCTCGGGCTGGGAGCGGCAATGGCGGTGGCGGCACTAGCTGAAGCCACTGGAGCGAGGGAAAGAGCTCGGGAAGAGGTGTGGTGGCCGCGACTTGAGGAGAGGAACCCTAGGACAGCTTTTATCGGGGAGGAGGCGAGGGGAAGGGCCGGGTCGCAGAGCTCAGGCACATGCCGGCCATGGCGCCCGGAGAGGACGCTGCTGACTGCGTGGGGAAGAGGAGGGGCTCGGCCTGGTCATGATGCGCGTAGATCGCGGCGCTGGCGGGGAAGAGGACGCGGGCGAAGGATCAATCCTCGAGAGGATCCTCGGTTCGTGCGCACGGGGCGGATCGAGGCGACGACGACGTCGTCCGGCTCCTGCGGCGAGAGGTAGGGGAAGAACCTGACGGGTGGGGCCCGGCTGGCAGCGCCTCAGGGGCGGGGCGCGGAGCGGGCTGGCTCTGCTAACTGCTGCTGCTACTGGGCTGCGATTGCTGGGCTTCGGCCCAAGAGCTGGGGCGAGCGCGGGCAGGAAGGAGGGCTGGGGCGGCTGGGCCGAAAGCTGAAAAAGGCCAGAAGGAAGGGAGAAAAAGAGAGAAAAAATAAAGCTTTTCTTTTTATTAAAAAGGATTCAAACCACTTTTGCAAACCATTTTGAGTTCAAACTCTCAAACTCTTTTGAAAAGAAGCTTGAAAACTTATTTCCCAAAACTTTGATCTTTTCAAACATATTTTTGAAAAATCTTTTTAAACTTTATTTTGAAAGCCCTTTTTATTTAACCAAGTTTAAAGAGCTTTATTTTTCCAAAACAGAAGAGAACCTATCCGTGGCTTGATCAAATTTTGGAAACTCATTTTTCACATAACCAAGCCAAAGCAAAGGCACGAAAGCAACAAACAAACTTTTGTTAACTTTGTAAAAGTTTTATAAAGCCATATATTTCCTCATTTTGTATTGACAACAAATCAATAAATCTTGGATAATTTTAGAAAAATTATTAAATCCTCTATTTTATTTAGTGTTTTCTATTCACAACCCAAAATAGAAATTTTGGGGTGTGACAAATTGATTGCAGTTTTCACGTGCATTTTTTTCCATGTCAGGGGAAAGAACGGAGCTGCAACGCCGCGCAGTACAACAGAGAGACTAGGAGCAAGATATAGATTTATAGACTAATACTCACACCAGAAATTCCTAGTGGCCGAGACAGAATCAGTCTACAGCCTCAGGTTATAGTATCGATCTTCTCACAATTGACAGTGATCTTCTCCCACGTTATTGACGATCATTGCATGATTATTTTCCAACAAGGACCCATTATGGTATAATTCTACGCACCATGAAGAAGCGCTACAAAAATAGTAGATGGTATATATCGCTTTTTGTAGTTGGGCCTGTTCGCTGGTTGGTGCTGGTGCTGGTTTGGGCTGGCTGGTGCTGGTTTTTTGTGTGAGGAAAACACTGTTGGCTGACTGGTTTGGGTTGGCTGAAACCAACAAGCGAACAAACTGGTTAATTGATAGTCATGCATTCTACTAGTAAATGGCATCTTGCAACGTCGTCTTCCGATGGCTTCTATGTAGTGCTCGGTGCTCCTAATACATCATACTGCCAACCAGAGACAGCATTTTACTAGTATGATGACTTAGCAAGCTTTCTAATCACAGGTGCACCTAGCATGCTTTGCAATTGTGTGGTGCACAACCAGCAGACCTGCTTTGCTAGCTCTTGCTAAATAGTCCTGACGAATCAGCACGGTGGTTGGTAATAGTCAAGTACCAGGCTAAACTGTGAGTAATAACCAAAGTTTTAAATAGCCGGCTAAGCCATTTAGCTTTCTATGTCCGAAAACAAGCTATAGCGGGCTACAGCGATAGCTAAGAGCTAACTTTTACATAGAAAAACTTAGCTAAATCCTTCTCAAATAGCTATAGTCGGAGATAGCGGAGGCTATATAGCTGGAGATTTAGAACCTCGGTAATAACCAGCAGGCGTGCTTTGCTCCGACAACCACAGAGCCCGTGGTGTCAGTTGTCTCCCGGACCAGTGTTGTATGATACGACTATGTATTTCGCGCGCCTAATCATTCTCACTCCTGGCCCTCACCACTGTTACATTCACTCACATAAAAAGCCATGGTGGTGGAATGATAGATGCTGGAAATTTCCTGGGAGAATCTACATAATCCTGACGCCTTGCATTCCTCATGTACAAAAGAAGTGTTATATGCAGACTAGACGGCTGGCAAGAATGGATGGCCTTGCAATCCGTGGTAGAGTGAGTAACCAATATATATATAAAGAATGTATGGCACCCTCGGTGTGCCGCATGGTAGCCAAGTTATTATTGGTATTATTGCTTACTTGGGTGTATATAATGTGATAACTTGTGAGTGTTTTTCTTTTGCTTTCAATCATAGCTTCTCGTCATGGAACTACTACATGTACATTGAAAACATTCTATTATATATACTGCATTTTATGTTAGGTGACATATATATAGCTGGGGTACTTGGCAAATACCTGGTGCCTGAAAAAAAATGCAATCGATGTTTTCTATAAAAATAGGCATAACATCCTTCTATAACAAACTAAATAAAAGTATTCTTCTGCTGTGCCCGCGAGTTAATAATATAAGTGGTTCATCTAGTGTGGCAACTGCTCAGAAGCTTTACATATGTTACTTGTCCTAGCTTTGCTGTTTTGCTTGGCTTAGCGTTATCACTTGTTTAACAATTAAGAGCAATCAAAGGCCTGTCCTGAACGACTCTTCGTTCAGAATTTCAGATACAGAAAAAGAGGAGATTTGTCCCCCCTGGACATGTCCTCATCAGTAGCATGGACAGTTGGACACTTGAAAGATTAAAAGTGAAAGTTCTAGGTGGAAAATAAAATCGGTAAAAGAGAAGATGGGTGGTAGCATGATGATGTCTTCTTCAGTTTGGGCAACCCAGATGTGGATTGTTGGTTTAAATAGTAGATTGTAGGACTCTTTTGTAAGAATGAGATGAAATGAATAGAGAGTGTGTGTGCTGGACACACACAGTGAGACTTTCCCCAAATCCAATATGGTATCTAGAGCCATGGTTAGGGTTTCGAGGGCCGACTGCGGGGGCAGCGCGCGGCGGCTGGCACGAGCTCCGGCGCGCGTGGAGGCGGCGCGGCCCTGCGCGCGAGTGGAGCGGCCAGCACGAACGGCTTGGCTGCGGACCCCAGCGCGGGGACGCGCGGAGGGCTGCACGGGCGAGCCAGGTGCGCTCACAGGCCAGGAGCGGGCGACGCGCGTGGGCCCTGCGACAGGCGGCTAAGCAGAGGAGGAGCACGTTGCTCTGCTATATCTGTGTAGAGGAGGAGGAGCACCTGCTGTGGTTGAAGAATAAGGAGAGAAGGTGGAAGTGCTGTTGCGTGGTACTAATTGTTGTTGCGTGGTGCTCACTGATTGAGGATGGAGAGGAGAGAAGGTGAGGACTGCTGTTGAAGTGCTGCTGTGTGGTGCTGCTGTTGAGGAGCTGGGATTTGGTGAAGGTGAAAGTCTTGCTGCTTGTGAGTGGGTTGTGGTGATTTGGTTGCTTGTGTTGTTTTGGTGCTTGGGGAGAGGCCTGTTCCAAGGAGGAGATGGATCCGGAGGAGCAAGCAAAAAAGAAAGCGGCAGAGGAGGCAACGAAGGGATCAGGTGAGCATAACAGTGGTAGTAATGGCAAAGGTGATCCACTAATTACCAAGAGTGAGATGAAAAGTGAGATGAGGTCTATGATTTGGAGCTCCTGGAGATGGGCATGATTGGTTCCAGGCCACCTGAGCTAGAGCTGGAACTAATGCCAAACGATGTGAAGCTGAAGGGAAGTAAAAATTACTTGAGTTGGGCTAGAAGAGTACAGGTGCTTCTAGGAGGAAAAGGGGTAGAGCACTATCTGGCGAAGGATTGTGTTGAGCCGGCTAACAAGCTTAGCCCTGAGTGGAGAGTTTGGCGTACGATAAACTCTACCATAGTGGCGTGGTTATTGGCATCCATGTCACCATATGTTAGTAAAATGGTGGAAGCTATGCACACTGCAGCACAAATATGGAAAGCCTTGAGTAACATGTATTCCTGGCGAAGGAATGTGATGGTGATGATGGAAATTCAAAATAAGGCCGATGCAGTGAAACAAGCAGGGCGACCAGTGGAGCAATATGCTAGTGAGTTGCAGTACTTGTGGGGAGAGCTGGACCACTATGCTCCACTTCATATGAGAGATCCACAGGATGCCCAAGATGTTCAGAAGTGGGTAGAGGACAGGAGGGTGACTCACTTTCCGAGGAACTTGGATCCTGAGTTTGAGAGCAGGAGGGATGCTTTTTGTCACCAGGATAATCTACCTACCATGGAGGAGGCTGTGTCAGCCATGGTCATTGAGGAGAGCAAACTTTGGATGATGAGTAGTAACAGTCCTGTACCACAGTGGCGGAGAGGGAGTGCTTCAACTGTGGAGAGAAGGGACACTTGAGCTACAATTGTCCTCTACCTAAAAACTATGGTGGTAGGAGTGGAACTCGTGGAGGTCGTGGTGGTGCTCGTGGTTGAAAGGACCTAGGATGTTGCCTAGAGGGGGGTGAATAGGCGTTTCTGAAAAATCAACACCTTTAAAAGCGGAAACGATTAGTAATAGGAGTTTCCAAAATGGAAACTCCAAATCAGAGTAATACCACCCCTCACAAGTTAGCCACAAAGTATATAAAAGATACTAGATAAACCTAGGGAGCCAAACAGCGGCAACCAAAGAGTTGAATCAAAATGCACTAGTCTGTTAATGTCGGAAGTCCCGACGTTTGGGTCAGAACTTCCGACGTGTCGGAAGTCCCGACGATTGGGTCAGAACTTCCGACGTGTCAGAAGTCCCAACAGTTTGAGTCAGAACTTCCAACGCAAACTGTCAGCACTTCCGACCCCTACGGGAAATGAACTACAAGTGCTAAAATGAACTTTGTGATGCCGATAACTTACAAACCCACTTCCTAGTGGTAAGGTAAGGTGTTGGGTCACTCTCTTGACGTTGATAAGCCACCACTCCGTAGATCGAGGCCCAAACCCTAAGAAATAGCTAGAGAGAGGAAGACAACCAAATACATGTAATTTCGAGCAAATCACAACAACAACAAGCACGCGGGAGACAAGAATTTATCCCGAGGTTCGGCAGCCCCACAAAGGAGCTCCTACGTCCTCGTTGTTGAGGTGACCACTTAGGTCGGAGTCTCTTCCACCTCCTTGCCTCACTCAAGGATATCACAAAGGTCACTTGAGTTTCTTCACTAGAAAACAAGGGTAATACAAACTTCCCAAGGCTCTTCCACAAGATGGAAGCTCTTGGGCGATGCCTAGCCGGCTAGGGGAAAATCCCCAAGAGTAACAAATGCAAATCAAACCGGCTTGACGAAGAAATCAAGTGCTCAAGCTTGCTCAAAGTGTTTTTCTCACTCAATCCACTCTCCAATCACTCAAACCCTTTGGGAATCGAAGTTGGAAGCAAAGGAGTGAAGAGAGGGGAGCCTAGAATGCTTGGGGGCTGTTTTGGCCGAGTGTTCGTCGCAATGAATTGAGTGGGCAACGGTTAGAATGAAGGAGATGGGTATATATACACAAAGGCAAAATCTAACCGTTCAGATCTACGTCGGGAGTTCCGACGCAGATCTCGGGACTTCCGACGATGAAGAAAAACACTGCTTCATGCGAGGTCAAAGTCCACTCGAGATAGCCAACGTCCGGAACTTCCGATTTAACGTCGGAGACTTCCGACCGCCGAAACTTCCGACGAACGTCGGACTTCCGACGAGCACGATCAAGCAGTCAAGAGAACCATCGATGCCGGGACTCCGGCTTGGGTCGGACTTCCGACTGCCGGGAGTTCCGACACACGCCGGGACTTCCGACGACCACGATCACCACCAGCAGGATGGTGGATCGAGTCAAGACTTCCTAAGAAGAGTCATGACTTCCGATTGTCGGGAGTTCCGGCTTACGTCCGGGACTTCCGAAACACCGACATCCACAGAAAAATTATTCTATGTGCTCGTAAAGTGCTAGAGTGTCTCTCTTTGATTTAATTATTATGCTTGAGCACTCTATCTTCCTCATACCACCTAAACTTGCATCCCTCTTAATAGTACGGCATACCTATTAACTCAAGATCAAAAGAAAAACGAAATTAAACCTTTTGAGTTGATCTTCTTTGAAATTGATGCCGTGTCTTTCAATCTTCATCAAGTGAGGGTGCCAACATGTCAATATTGATCTTGTCACTTGAGCATAGTCATCTTGAGCACGTGACTTGATTCCATTCATCAAATATGAATAACTCCAAAAAGTATCAAGTCACTTCTATCAAACATTCCAATAGTGATTTGATCCTCCACATAAACATGGCCATCATAGCTTGATTAGTACCTCAACTAAATGCAAGTACTTCCTTCTTCACCCTAGCTAGGTTCTTCGACGCCAAGCCGTAAACTTTCACCCTTCACCCTTGCTTAGTACCTCAAGCCTTTCCTTGCTATCTTCACCATCTCAAGCCATCAAGTCACATCTTGTGTTGAATCATCCATTCATGTATTGCCATCTTTTTCATTTCAATTTAGCAAGCTTCAAATATGAGACCATTCCATATGCAATCCCTTATGTCTCATTAATTGACTCTTATCGTGCTTGCTTTCACATAGATCATTGAAATCCCACAATAAATAAGCATTTGCATGAATTCCATTTGCATTGTTGTCTTGTGCTTGAACTAGATTGTTTATACAACAATACATCATTTTGGCTTTATACAATTTCATCAAGTATCTGTGAGATAATCAACTTCCTGTCTAACACTTAGCAAACATGTTAGTCCTTTAATCGTGTTGTCATTCAATCATCCAAAACTCACTAAAGGGCTAGATGCACTTTCAGTGGTGATCAAGGAAGTGGCTATGGTGGCCATGGAGGAGGTCGTGCAGGGGGTTGTGGTAGAGTCCGTGGTGGTTCTCAAGCCAATGTTGTTACCACAGAGGAGGTTCCATCTCTCATCTTGACTAGGGAGCAGGTCAAGCACTAGGAACAATGGCAGAAGATCAAATCATCTGAGATCTCCAAAACTACTCTAGCTGGTCCTATGATTGCTACCACTAGTCACTTTGGTAACTTTGCCAACTATGCCCACTTGGGCAAAGGAACTCAGGCACAGGCACTTGCATCTACATATAGGCATAACATAGAATGGGTCATTGATTCAGGAGCTTCCAAGCATGTCACCTGCATATCTAGTTCCTTTAAAACATACACTCCACATTCCCACTTTGAGACTATTCAAATTGCTGATGGTACCTCCCAACACATTCATGGTGTAGGATCTATAGAGTGTACTCCATCTCTTTGCTTATCATCTATTTTGCATGTTCCTTCCTTCCCAGTCAATCTCCTCTCTGTTAGTTCACTTGTTGATCAGTTCAAATGCATTGTTACATTTGTTGAAAATCTTTGTATCTTTCAGGAGAAGAGGATGGGGAGAGTGATTGGGATTGGAGTCAGGCATAATGGGCTATGGTTTATCAACCAGGCAGAGTCAGTATTGGCAGCAGCTATTGGAGCACAGGAGAGGGAGGTCTTGTTGCTTCATTATCGGTTAGGACATGTGCCTTTTGAAAGCTTGAATAAATTGTATCCTGATGCTTTTAGTGATGTGGATAGAACCAAACTTGTGTGTGATGCCTGTGAACTTGGGAAGCATACAAGATCAACTTATCCTAGTATTGGTCTTCATAGTTGTGAACCTTTTATGTTAATTCACTCTGATGTTTGGGGTCCCTGCTCAGTTACATCTTTTAGTGGATTTAAGTGGTTTGTCACCTTTATTGATTGCTATACCCGTATGACATGGATTTACATGCTTAGGGGTAAGCATGAAGTTCTTCGATGCTTCCAAGATTTTCATAAGTTGGTTGCAAATCAATTTAATGCCAAGATTCGAATTATTCATTCGAATTATTCATGGCATACCTTTCGAATCATGGAATTATACATCAAGCTACCTGTCCTAATACCCCACCACAGAATGGTGTAGCTGAGAGGAAGAATTGACACTTGTTGGAGGTAGCAAGGTCACTGATGTTTCAAATGAATGTGCCTAAATATCTTTGGAGTGAGGTTGTGCTGACAGTAGCATATTTAACCAATCGCATGCCATCCAGGATTCTTGGTATGAAGTCACCTGCTGAGCTTTTATTGGGAGAATGAGAGTTTAAAGTACCCCCAAGGTATTTGGTTGTGTTTGGTTTGTTAGGGACCATCGACCTTCAGTAGGAAAATTGGATCCTCAGGCGGTGAAATGTGTCTTTGTTGGATATTCTTCTACACAAAATGGATACAAGTGTTGGGACCCTATTGGAAAGAAATTGTTTGTGAGTATGGATGTGACGTTTCGTGAGTTTGAACCATACTATACAAAACCATGGCATCTTGATCCATTTTTGGAGGAATTCTCTTCAGTCACTGAGAGTGACAGTAGAGAGGGGGAGAATGGTTGTGTGCAGAATGAAGGGGGACTCAAGAAGAAGTGATTATTGGGACTATCCCTTGCCCAATGGATGTGCCTGTGGCTCAGGAGGTGGTGGATCAGGATACTATTGGGGATATGAGGAGTGATGTCGATGGGAATGCAGAGGTGATTGTTGTTGGGAATGAGGAGACGATTGTTGAAAGGAGTGAAGATGAAATTGTTGGGACAAACCTGTGTTCTACAAATGAAATGGGGACAAAGAATGGGGAGACAATTGCCAAAGAACCAATAGTGTATCAAAGGAGGCGTTTTAGAAGTCAGGGTTGAACAAGTTAGTTCACCACAGCCATAGCAGCCTAACTCGTCAGTCCCAAATCTCTCCTCAGATCTCTCTCCATACAGCTCCTCGACCCAATCTGGGTCAAGTGGTAATGCTTTTCCTACCTATGAACATGTAGAGATACCTCTTGCACAACGTAGAGATACTAGACCCAATTTTGAAAAACCTCCTGTTCGTTATGGCTTTGAGCATCCTAGTACAGATCATGATATTGCCAATTTCCTTTCATATTCTTGTCTTTCACCTACATATAGAGCATTTGTTGCATCTTTACAAAACAGTGCCTATTCCAAGGGACTGGAAGTGTGCAAAACAGGATCCTAAGTGGAATGTAGCAATGAAAGAAGAGATGTATGCTCTTCAGAAAAACAAGACGTGGGAACTGGTCCAACTTCCAAAAGGGAAGAAGGTAGTGGGTTGTAAGTGGGTCTTCACTGTGAAGCAGAACCCAAAAGGAGAGGTGCATAGATACAAAGCAAGATTGGTTCCAAAAGGGTATAGTCAAACATATGGGATTGATTATGATGAGACCTTTACTCCTGTGGTGAAAATGGGTACTGTTAGGACCTTGATCTCTTGTGCAGTTAATTTTGGTTGGCCTCTTCATCAGATGGATGTAAAGAATGCATTTCTTTAT